AATGCATTCCTGCATCAGTTTATTGACAATAATCCAAACTCTAGACCCTATAAACACTTTAAATTTTTTAGCAGCCAAACATATTTACATCTAATCTTCACAAAATATACAGTAAACACAATTTTGAAAAAATGCTGTAAAGTATAATGTATTTAATCAATATTTAATTATAGGATTTATGAATTATTGTGTAAACGAAAACTATTTAAATAATGGATTGAATTGTGTTTGAAATAAATAAGAGTAAACAAAGGGATTAAAGAAAATTTGATGCATACCTGACATCACAATAATTGATATGAGAGTAACGATGAGATGCATTGTGCGAACAGTTTGTTATGTATTCAAACTATTGTTAAATCTTATAATATGTAAGAAAATTGCTTTGATTGTAATAATTGTAAATATTTAGCTCATAATATTGGAAATAATAAGATTTCATTTTGAAATGTATTTATAAAATATATTTAAATTATTGATATATTCCAAGTGATGATATAAGACATGTAACTCTTATGCGCTATTACTATATACTATAGTATAGTAGCTATACTGTAGAATATATTCTAAACACTATTCACTATAGAGTTGACTTCTCTTAGAGTTAACTCAACGACTACTGAATAACTACTGATAAAAATGAGTTTCACTTGTGGTGGTGAACACATACGGACTGTTCTCTGTATTCTCACTCATGTCAATGATGTCATGCAATATGTTCTGCTCTGTGAAGCAAACTCTAACTGATCCGCACAACAGCATCACATGACATCACTCGCTATCCAATCGTACCAACCATTCCTTAATTCCTGTCTATTCACAGCCGTATTTGCAAAATTCACTTAAGCATCAACTCATACTAACACCTCAAGCTTAGCTCAAACTCAATCATATCCAGAGACTACTCAAATCCCATTTAATTCAACACACTTTATATAAAGGTTTGATTAAGGGTAAAATTTAAACATAACTTACCTCAAACAATAACAATTAAATTGAGAACTGAGACTCAACTTATAAGTTGATGCTTAAGCAGATTTTGTGAGCAGAACTGTAAGTTTTAGGGTATATCTGAGTTTACTTTTGCCAATTCTCTCATCTCTTCCTTAATGTATATTCTTGTGTAAAGTAAACCACTTTTGCGAACAGACTTTTCTATTATTCTGTCATTTCTCGTTTAATTGCTTTTTATTTGCTTTCATATACCAAACAATAACAACAATTTATCAATTAATTCTTGTTTAGCATATTTATGTGTCCTAACAGACCATTTGATTTATATTTTTAACAATTAATTTTAATTTTAAATTGCCAATAGAACTTATTAACAATAGCATATCTGTATATCTGTAGTACTTATAATATTTATAAATAAATGTTGTCATTACTAACAACAAAATAACCAAACGGAAGAGAAAATGACAATTTTTACAAATCATAATTTAGTAACTAAATTAATGTTTTAAATCAGAACAAGAATTTAAAAATTCCCAATTAATTTAGTCAATGATTTCTAACAATTGTGAATTTATTTACTCTATAAATTGTCTAGATTTTATTTGGTAATATTTTAAATATAATTTGATAATTTATAAATGAAATTTACAGTGATAAGCAATATGCAATAATAATGTTATCTAATAATAAAACACTCGCTTTATACGGTATGTGATAGATGTTACGCAGAGGTGACACTTATAAAGTGAGTGCTTATTAAAGCCATGTGCTTGATAATAGCTAGAATATGCATATATTAAATGTTCGGGCGACTACCGTAGGTGACCATTAGCCCGAAAACATGTCACTAATCTATTTCTATTGCCTTAATCTAATCAATACTATCACATCGGCATTAAATACAATGATCTCGCGGACTCGCAAGTTGTGCTATTGCTTGTCAGTGCAAATTGTACCCATTCAAGCCATTGAGTATTGGTTGACATATATTTTATCATAACATTGTTTTTTATATCTATTATTATTAACAATTGTTTTTAAGAGGATATTGTGGTCCAACTGTTATAAACAAAACAAGGATTAAATACATTTTAAGCAAACGTCTTTGTTTTATTTTTTTATAAGGGATATAATATACTGTATAGTGAAAGGAATGATTTTATTTAAATTATTGCAGTTTAATCATATTTTAACAATGAATAAATCTAATTTGTTAAATTGTTTATATAAATATATTACAACTTTTGTTTCATTTGTGATATTCATTAATTACAACTAAAATATTGAAATTTAAAGATTAAAAACACACTTAATTTAACAATTTTAATACAAAGGATTGATGGAAAATATGTTTTGAGTTAAAATTATTGCCCTATAAATCAATGTATTCAATCATAATTATAGTTGAATATAATTTACAAATTCAATGCATTAATCAAATAACTTCCTTTGCTATCACTTTATTCATATAAAGTTTAGTTAAAATAAATTAAATTCCAGAAATACATTACATGTAATGGTTAACTAAACACTATATTTATTTTAAAGAGATAATTTAGATAATAATTTAAAATAAAAACCAATGTCATTTCTGTTCATTCCAATGGTATAACAAATATATACGAATGAAATTTAAATAATTTAATCATTTGTATGAATTATTTTGTATTCAAATTTTTGTTTACTATAGGAATATTATTATAGGAATATTATGTGTAGAGTTTGAGTGTTTCTGACGAAAGCAAAATGTTCCCAAAGATACTGTATTTCTAATTTTAAAATTATATCAAAATATACTGAGATTTTACCAATTTTGCTATAAAAAGATAATTTATCATGTTAAGGAATATTGATATTTGACTACTTGATTGTACTTTTGAGATATTTTGTATTTAAAACACAAATACAAAACGTCTAAAACGCTGGATAACTCTTTTACCATAATTTTACAATAATTATTACCCAAATTGCCTCTAATAAACATTGGATGATTAATCTTTAAATCGGGATAAATATTTAATATATTTATTTTAAATATTTATATAATTTTAACATTTGGTTCTTTATTAGCAATTAAAATTGATAGAATCCTGAATATAATGTAGGTAATTATATGGTATATAGTTTATATTATAAAACTTATATAATATACAATATATTTAAAAAATAATATTAAACTTATTAAATCAATATTTAAACAAGAATGTGACAACAACTATTAACAATAAACTAAAATTCACTATTTATCAAGATTTTTCAAAATTCCATTCAAATTATAGGAAATTTTAGCGAAAGTATTTTTCAACTCTAGTTTTTATGAATAAAATACACAAAAAATCATGAAATATTATACATTGAATTCCATTAATTCTTTTTTATATTATTATTTAACAAAATATCAATAAAAAACATTGTGCGCTATTTTAACGACCTTATAGTATTATGCTATATATAGTATATGGTATTTTCTTTGTACAAACAATAATAAATTAATATTAAAGATATTTGTATTAAACGAGTTATTTAATAAAATTAATCAAATTAACGATGAATTTAAATATAGAGCTGCCATAAGAGTTATGGCATAAGAGATCATAATATTCCAGTTTTTTGTCAATATCCCAATCGATTACTAAAATGTATAAAAATTAGCAAATAATTGAAGTCGTGACAACTTATTACGGTAATACAATTCTTTCACTTATTTAGCACATAATATAATTATTTCTATTTATTTTAGTACTTATAGTGACTGTGATTTTTAAATAACAAATTCAATGAATATCTTATTTTGGCATGAAATAGAAAAACCAAATATCAAGTAACTAGATTCTAGTTTGATATTAAAATCTATATTAAATATTTTAAAAATATATTCTAAAAAGAATTCTCATTTATAATTATAAACACATTAAAATTATAAAATTAATTTTATTATATTCAAAGTAATAATCTCAATTAATTGTGATATTTATTAAATTGAGTTAATTTTTTTACAAACAAAAGGTTTTGTTCACAATTTAAGGCAATCAAATGAAATGGCATTTTATTAGCACTGATATTACGAATTGGGTTCTAAACTTTAGTTTGGCTACAGTAACCGCTATTATGGTAAACATTTAAATCACGTCTTAATTAATGTTTATATCATATGACATATCAATCAAAAGGAATAACAAGAATAAGATTTATTCAACATTTTTTCAAAACCTAATAATAATTAACAGTAAGTAATTTAAAAACTTAAAAACTCCTTTTATTGTTAAAATTGCAACCAAAGTAAGTGACGGATTGCTCTTCATTATAGTCTTATTATTATTAATAGGTATTATTAATTAAGTTATTAAATTTATTTTGGAAAATTAAAAACACCAAGAAATACTTGCACAACATCAGGCATTTATAATGATTTCAAAATATGCCTTCTTATTAATATTCCTAACTATCCTTATTAATGAGATTTTTAAAAACTAAATCAATATTAAAAGCATCAACTTATTATTGAAACAATTTTTACAATGTTCTTATATTCAACTCAATACAATTGTAATCTTAATAATTAATTTAAAGTACTCATCAAAAATAACTCATGTTATTGTTGTTAATATACCTTTAATTGTCAAAAAGTAACTAAAAATTTAGTAAAATTAATAAATGAAACATAAAGTTTTATATTCATATACAATATATTGGATGCCATAATTCTAATATTAATTATATTGCATTATAAATTATAATTTATAAATTATGTTCTTTACGAGAGAAGACTGAGAATGTATTTACCTTTATATTACTTTATGCTATAACTTTAAACCAATTGATACCATATTTAGAAATTGAGTAGAAAATTAATTGCAGACAAATGGTGTTATATATTTGAACACAAAATTCACCAATATTCACCAATATTCACCTGTACTCACCTGTATTCGCCCAAATCATGCCATTACACCACATTTTACTAATTTTGGTTGTTATACGTGTGTTATACACATTGTATACCAATTTGGTCCACATATCATGATAATTGCACACAATTGAACTCTTATTTAATTTGAATTTTATTGTATACACAAAAGAGTGGAAAATATATTATTTAGTAAAACATATGTATAATTAATAAAAATGGCTGAATTAGTATAAATAGTTGCAAAATGTATGCAATGGTTAGCGATAATAGCAATCAATTAAGTGTTTCGCCTTTTGTTACCTAAATATATGGCAAACAATTGATGGTTAATGTAATGCTTAATCACATAATCCAAGTCTACCTTTGCCTCCAAGTATTCAATCCTTCTCTCCAAAGACGTCAACTTCTCATTAAGTGAAGCGAGTCTTCCTCTACAAGACATGTCTGGCATTCAAACAATGAGTTAATTGCAATCAAATGTAATACTAATGCAATTGTAATACAAATACAAACCAAAGGAATTCAAGAAGTCTGCGATCTTTTTGATGGATCCGGTGATGATCTCAATGTACTCCCTGTTAGCCCAGTCCTGTTGGATCTGCTTCTGAATGCCCTCCTTCTCAACGCTTGCCATCAATTGATTCAATCAATTAGTAATCACTAATTAATTCACTACTAATTGTAATAATCAGTGATTAGTCTATTAAATGCCAAAACACTATTCAATACAGTATTTACTGACAAACAATCAAACCATTCATATATAGCGTTATATAATTCACTCTTTAAACTCAATGTCACGTTATTTGTGGATAAATTCACAAATGTTTGAATTGCTGTAAAACATTGGATAAGAAACACGTGTTTTGATTGTTTAACTAATGTTTGGTTTAATTGTTTGTTAAATCAGTTCAAGTGATACAAGAGATGGACAGCGAAGGTAGGGATGAGGGGATCAATGGATGGATGTATTGATGGATGTATTGAAGTGTTAATTGTTTTTGATTTACAGATACGAAGAAAAAGAAACACAAATCTCCGAAAACATTAGGCGTAAGTGTTTTGACACTATCTTTGNACATTGGATAAGAAACACGTGTTTTGATTGTTTAACTAATGTTTGGTTTAATTGTTTGTTAAATCAGTTCAAGTGATACAAGAGATGGACAGCGAAGGTAGGGATGAGGGGATCAATGGATGGATGTATTGATGGATGTATTGAAGTGTTAATTGTTTTTGATTTACAGATACGAAGAAAAAGAAACACAAATCTCCGAAAACATTAGGCGTAAGTGTTTTGACACTATCTTTGTTTGATTGCTATAAAAGTGACAATTGTTTGAATGACAGGACATTCAACGCCAACAGGACTTCTTCCTGAAGCCGTCGTCAGCGGAACCGAGTCTTAATGCCCAACAATGGCCTCTCCTATTGAAGGTATGCGTGAATGTGTGTTAACAGTAATGAATGGATCAACTGATGGTGTTTTGTGTCCAGAATTACGATCGTCTGAATGTGAGGACCAATCACTTCACTCCCCTATCATTTGGTTGTTCGCCATTCAAACGGGATTTACGCGAATACTTGAGGTCTGGGTTTATAAATCTGGATAAGCCGTCGAACCCCTCTTCACACGAAGTCGTCGCTTGGATTAAACGTATCCTAAGAGTGGAGAAGACGGGTCACAGCGGAACCCTTGACCCCAAAGTGAGCGGTTGTCTCATTGTTTGCATCGAAAGGGCCACTCGTTTAGTGAAATCACAACAAAATGCTGGCAAAGAATACGTTTGTATTTTCCGATTACATTCGGCTGTCGATAGCGAACAGACTGTACTGAAAGCCGTCGAAACACTTACCGGCGCTCTCTTTCAAAGGCCTCCTTTGATATCTGCTGTGAAACGACAGCTTAGAGTGCGAACGATATATGAAAGTAAACTTCTTGAGTACAACAAAGATAAAAATCTTGGCGTCCTTTGGGTTAGTTGTGAAGCCGGCACTTATGTGCGGACCCTTTGCGTCCATTTGGGACTTGTGTTAGGCGTCGGCGGACAGATGCAAGAGTTGAGGAGAGTTCGCTCTGGTATTCAACACGAAGGCGAAGGATTAGTGACAATGCATGACATAATTGACGCCCAATGGCTCTATGATAACCATAAAGACGAAACATATCTTCGACGAGTCATTAAACCATTGGAAGCGCTTCTGGTCTCTCATAAGCGTATTGTTATGAAAGATAGTGCAGTGAATGCTGTCTGTTATGGCGCTAAAATCATGTTACCCGGGGTTCTCAAATACGAGGACAACATTGAAATGAACGATCAAATTGTTGTCATCACCACTAAAGGAGAGGCCGTCTGTTTGGGTATGTCTTTACTAACTTAAGTCATAAGCATTTAATTGAATGAATCTCTTAGCCATTGCGTTGATGACCACATCGACGATCGCGAGCAGTGATCACGGAGTGGTCGCTAAAATCAAGAGAGTTCTTATGGAAAGGGATACATATCCACGAAAGTGGGGATTGGGACCAACGGTTGCATATTTAATGAACTTTATAACATAAGTCCAATTGTATTGACTGTGTTTTGCTTATATTTAAGGCAACTCTGAAGAAGAAGTTAATGAAAGACGGATTACTAACAGATAAAGGAAAGCCTAACGATAAAACGCCCAAAGACTGGTACCTCAAATATCACGACACTACACATGCAAATGAAACCGATGCCAACTCTACCATCTCTTCGCCGAACGGAACTAAAGGCAAAACTGAAGCCATTGAAGAAGAGGGCGAAGAAGAAGAAGACGTCCAAAAGGTATCCGAAAAGAAGAAGAAAAAGAAGAAGAAGAAGAAAGAAGACAATTCTGATTCAGAATAAGCATTGTTTAAGACTTCAATTCATTCTTTTATTTTGCATTGAATTTCAATCATTTAATAAATTTTATTTTGAAAAATGTCGAACTTTTTTGTTAATTTTTTCAATTAAGTTAAAAACTATTTAAGATTAAATGATTTGATTGATTCAGTTATGACAGAATATGTTATATAAAATCTTATAATAATTAGCCATTTAAATAAAACAAATGATTACTTTACAGTTATTATTTTGTTAATTATTACCGGTAAAAGATTTGATTTTTCAAATACTATAAGTTGTGAAACAATGAAAGTACGGTACAGTATATTGAATGATAGATACAATAGATGTCAGTAATCATACCGTATGTTGAATATTGAATACACTGTTGTATTGCAAGCGAACCGTTGTTTGAAATTTAAAAGTCTTAACGATATATAAAATATTCAAGTTTATTGAATAATATTACTGTTAAACGTTAGACAATACTTACCAAACATGGATCTGATGTGCACTACATTTAGTGAACACACTTCACGTATGGCCACGTGTGACGAGTTTGTGAAGAGAGAGAAGAGAGACAGTTGTGGTGACACACGTGTGAAGAGATGCAATAGAGTTAACACAGAGAATAGATTCCATGGTTTGAGTGAATCTCAATTGAAAGACAAGACATTAGCCGACCATTTGGATCACGATTTGGATGTCTTGATAATAGGCATAAACCCTGGCTATAACGCGGCCCGCAGTGGCCATCATTACGCCGGTCAGTGTCTAGAGTCTAGACATTAGTCTATATGACTAGTTATGCTAATTGTTGTCATTTGTTGCTTAAGGTCCCGGAAATCACTTCTGGAAATGTCTTTATTTGTCTCAATTGGTGAGTAAACCGATGACAGCTTTGGATGACTTCCGACTCGTGGATCGGAGCCATAAATACAGAATCGGTTTCACGAATATTGTCAGCCGAACCACTCGTGGAAGTGATTGTCTCACTAAAGACGAGATTAGAAAAGGAGCTCAAGTGTTGAGGAATAAACTGAAGACTTATTTGCCTAAAATTGCTGTTTTTAATGGAAAAGGTATTATTGGTATTCATATGACATATTCCTGACTCAAAAACAATTGCAACCATTTGTTTGAATACAACATATAATAGGAATCTATGAAGTGTTCTGTGGAACGACTCGTTTCCAGTTAGGACTTCAGCCAAAGTCAATGGACTCGACATTAATTTATGTGATGCCCTCTTCAAGTGCCCGCTGTTCACAACTGCCCCGCGCTTCAGACAAACTCCCCTTTTATATCGGTATACACTTTACTCTTCACTCACTACACCGTTATTTCTCATATTTATCATAGTTTTTATTTTATTCAAACTGATACTTGTTTATCATTTTTATTCTTTATTATTTATTCAATATTCATAAATTCATTTATTGTACAGTAATTATTATTATTATCGTTAATAATTAGGTTTAAAACAACTATTGGACAAAATTCATCTCTCAATGCCTATCGATTCAAATGAATTTATTTTTCCAAATCTCGAGTCAAATAAAAAGATATGCAAACCTATTAAAGAGGAAGAGTCCGCTCCAACTCAACAATCTATTTATTTTTCATAAATTTACAAATAATAATAAACATTACATCAAATAACTGTAAGAATAAGTATCAGTGACTTCTGTTACTTTGATTTTTGCTGATTTTGTTTACTAATCAATAGAGTCTCTATTTTTCGGGAGTAAAAACACCCAAATTCGGGCGGGATTTGGGAACATAAAACAGTCAAATTCGGGAAAAAATCGGGAGTTAAAATGTATTTTATTTTTACATTAAAACAATAATTATGCATTTAAAAATGAATTATATTTGATAATAACATGAAATTTGAGATTCTCTTCTGTAAATTTATGCCTTTTATCTGTAATAATATTTTTAAATTGAGAAAAGAACGCTCGAGTTCGACGGAGACAAATATAATTTTAAAATAGCATGAAGTGGATTGTCACATGTTTTGAGTTTAACTTTCATATAGTCCCTTTATCACACATTATTTGAACTTTATAATAGCTTTTGGTATTTATTTAACATTTCATTAAAATATTTGAAGAAAAAGCAATGATTATAGGGGGTTTTCGTGGCAAAAGTGCGTTTCCGGGACTATTTTTCTCATAATCGGGAGCATTCGGGACTTTTCGGGAGTTTTCGGGACTTTTCGGGATTTTCTCAAAATATGCGAAAATCGGGAAAAATCGGGAATATAAAAACTATATATATTGGTCCTATTTTAGCCCATATGCCTAACAGTATGTAATTCCCGATGTTTTTATACACTAAATTTATTCGGGAGTTCCCGAAAAATAGAGACTCTACTAATCAATGCATTTGAAATGTGGAACCGACATAAAACTCAAATTTAACCGAAATTTTATTGGTCAAATTTAACCGAAAATTTTTGAATGATGATTTGATGTGAAACAGTATTTATCAAGTGACAAAACAATGCCATCCATTTGTCTGTATGTCTTGTGGTCCCGAAGTAATCCTCTCCCGAAGAAGCGCCACTCTCCCACAATAACCACTCCCACAGTGGCACAATGACCAGGACACTTTTTTAATATGAGATAATAAAATGCCGTAAAGTATTTTATTACAAAGATTAGATAAAGAAAATAACAATTAGATATAAATTTTAACAATTGATCCAGCCAATTTAAAAATTTCGTCACATTTATTTGTCTGATATATTCATTCCCATTGAATAACATTGCCAATGCTATTTCGGGAGTGGACTTCTCCGGGAGAGGATTACTCCTAAACCACAAGACATACTGACAAATGAATGACAATGTTTTGTCACTTAATAAATGCTGTTTCATATCAATTTGCCATTTTAAAATTTTCGGTTAAATTAGACTAATAAATTAAGTTTTATGTGAGTTCCACATTTCAAATGCGCTTGTTAATCAATGATTTGATAGAAATTATAAAACATTGAAATTATTGAACAATTGTATTCGTAATACCGTATAATTATTTAATGAATAATATTGTGGACAACACTATAAAATTTACAAAATTAATTATATTTGTTGTTTCAAAAATGAATAATTCTGTGCCATATATTTGGGGCATACAGTATATGTATATATATTTATTTGTTCTCAAAGTCATTTTAAAAATATTTACATCGTTTTCAATGTAAAATTTTTATTTATCCAAAGCTTTTTGTTTTATAATGTGTACATTTGTATCTAGAATTACTTAAAAGTATGAAAAATTAAAACACAAATACTGTAATTACCGAATTATAATTTATTAATTATTATAAACAAAGTTATAAGTATTGGTAATATAACTAATTATTTGTATTAACCGATTTCGACCACTATAAATTTACAATATATAATACGCTATAAAAGTAGTCAAATTCCTCTTTAAATATGACAACATTTATACAAATTGAAATCGAAATGAATAAATAAAAAATGATTGGAGATATACAGAGTTGCAACACTTGTTTTACAGTTATCTTAATCCAACTATATTTAGAACATTATGGTCAAAATATTATTAATTGTCATTAATTTGATATTTAATAAATAGTTTATTGATTACACGAGTAAAATGTGTTTATAATAATAAATTGACAATTTCAATGTATGCAAATCTAATTAAGACTATATTATTAAACACAACGAAGAGAACCGCTATCCAGTGTATGAACTGAATTGGAAGAGAGAGAGAGGGATAATCAGGGTATAAATACACACTATAATTTATTAAGTGGATGCACACTTATATCGAAATAAGGCT